AATAAAACCATGGGGGAATGTCACATAAGTACTTTGATAATAGAATTTTGTAATCCGTATTTGGTTTATGAGTGAGATTTAGTTGAGGGTGTTATTGTTAAGCGATCTTGTTTCTCAATATGAGGTTAAGGAAAATTGTACATATAATAAGTGTATTACATAAAAAAAGAAATGAGTAAAATAAGATCCGAAAATCTTATAGAATAATTCACATGTGGAGGGGGTGATTCTTACAAAAGATGTAAACAGTTTAGGCGACAGGTATTTAATCCAATGCGATGTGACAGATGTAGAAATAAACTGTAAAGCTTTGAGCAATCAGTGGTTACAAAATATACCTAGAGAAAGATTAGACAGGAATTTTTTAAAACAAAATTTTATCAGCGTGCAAGCAGAGCTAAATATAGAACAACAAACTTAAGGCGTTCTAATTCAGCAGGATGGGGGGGGGGGGGGACAGTTGGTGAAATGGTCGCGTAGTAGAGCGTACAACTGCTAAAATGAAAACAGGAGAACATATCCCAGATTCCGCCTTAAAAACCACAAAAATGAAAATCGTATACTGTTTAGTTATAGCAGAAAACTTTAAAGTTAAAAAAGTCGTTAGTGAATATGTTCCTAAACCACTGCTATTCGTCATTTATTTGTGAAAAGTAAAAATAAATTCAATATATTCGTTAACCCCTCTCTCCCTGTTTTCTCATAAAATCTAACCCCTACCGCTTCCTAATCTTAACTGTATGACGTCTTTTAAAAACGACCCCCCTACGGAAATGGAGTGTTTATGTTCAGACACCTACAGAGAAATGAGTTAAATTTACATCCTGAGAACAAATATCAAGTGACGCGGTAAGAGGTGAAATGGGTACGATATAAAGTTACACAGAGGTTCAAGACATAATCCCAGATATAAAATAAACAATAACAACTCACATCAAGTAGTAACGAAACTCCTCTGAATAGTTACACATTTAAACGTAGACTAATATATCTTTTAATTATTAGAACAACCCTGTTTATACACACGTAATGTTGAATAGTGCAGAACAAGATTATCATTAAACATCCCTGAACCATTGTGCATGACGTATTCATTAAATATAGAGCACATGAGCTTCTAATCTTAAGCGTACTTTGGTTATAGTCTTAACATACAACAGAATTATCAGAAGCATAGTAGAATGTTTAGATGCTAAGCTAGTGAAGTTAAATATACTTCTGAAAATGGTACCACTTCTCCAAAAAAAAAAAGGGCGCCACTTGTCTCATAATGGTGATCTTTTCTAAAAGTATGCCATATTTCGATTACTGGAATCACTTTTTCTAAAACGGGTGCCATTTTCCAATAAAAGAACAACTTTTCTGATAAATGCGAACATTTTCTGAAATCCGTACCATTAATTTTTCGTATTGGCGTATTATTTATTTATGTTTAGAAAAGAAGGGTGTCATTTACTACCATATTTTCGCGATTTTCCTAAAATGCCTGTCTTCCGCCCCACTATTAAAGAATTGGCGCATGAATATGACAAATATCATTTCTGGTCTTTATAGGTACATTGGATCTCTTCGGCTAAACAAAGACCATAGAAAGACGAGGCAAGGGGAGGGGTTAAATATACAATTGATGGGGATATAAAGAAAAGTAGTGTTTTGTTTCGAACTTGACGGTCCTCAGGAAAGTGAAGTAGAGTTTCACGTGTTTCTGAGACTTTTGCGTATAAAGGGTTAGTGTGCTCAGCAGTACGACCAGCCATCTTTACTTTCCCCTAACGTGAGTAAGGTGCCAATCAGAGCATGACGGAATCAGGGACATTCTGCGGACTTGAATTCGAACTCGAGGCTTTAAGGTTAGCAGTCGTATGCTCTAACATTCGACCAATCCGTCCCTTAATGGGAATGTACACTTTTTTTTTTTTTTGTAACTGATTGCCATGTGCTATTACGGAGGCGATTTATCAAGCTCATCATCAGCCATACCTACAGCACCTAACGATAGCAATAAGCTGTTAAGTTGTTCAGCAGATAATCCTACATTAAATGTTTACACTATTTAAAAATATCACAGGAACTTCATGTAGGCCTATAACTTGTACACCAAAAGATACGCTAAAATTGTACAGCAATTTAAAAAAGTTTTAGGATTTTTTTAACTTTATGGATATTAGTTATAGTTAATTTTTAACGTACATACATTAAGCTTGAAACCTGCATAAATATTAATGACACCCCCCCCCCCCAGAGGCGTAGCGACCCTTTCCGGCGCCCGTTGACAAACTTTCGATTTGCACCCCCCCCCCCCTCAACCTTTCAATTTATTTGTCCAACCCATTTTGGCGCTCCTAAGGTCGGCGCCCGGGGACATATGTCCCCCCCCCCCTCGCTACGCCTCTGCCCCCCCCCCCCAAAAAAAAACACGCCCCCCCCAAAACATATTTTGTGTTGTAGATACGCCTTTAAGAAATCTACCCCGCAATGATTGGACGGTGAAGTGGTTTATTTTTAGCCTGGAATCTCCGTGACGTCCTGTTTAGGTCATACTGTCGCGGGTATATTAACGTTAGCGCTGGTGATATGTGCGTTTGTGTGCGCTCAACTAGACTTCTTGTATCAACGTCCTGTTTAGGTCATACTGTCGCGGGTATATTAACGTTAGCGTTGGTGATATGTGCGTTTGTGTGCGCTCAACTAGACATCCTCTATCAACAGACATGGGTCACGTGATCAGACTACTCACTGTTGCTGTTGTGGTGCTGCTACGTCCAGGTTTTGTAGAAGGTGAGTACATTTTTAACCCGACTAAATTATAAAGACAAAATGTGTACCGCATTACTCAATCGAGCGTACAAGAAACTGCTAAGACATTTAACCTATGAATGTTTTTAAAGTGGAACTAATATACGAAACCTATTCAACAGTAGTTAACATTTTTACGTTACAAATCAATCAATTATTTAATTAATCAGTGAATTTAGGTAGTTAATAAAGAAAGAAAAAAGAAAAAGAAAAAAAAGAAAAAAAAAAGTAAAAACAACTACCATATTTCTTTTTACATTCGGGTCATTTATTTTATCTAGTGGGATCCTTTACCCAGTCGATATCTTTATTCCTGTCTTATTGTCTAATCCATTCTCCAACCATTTCCTTAAGCCTTTTGATGACCCCTATAAATGCCAGCGGGTGGGGGGGAATTGACCGGGGGGGGGGTATTGTCCTACAGCTGATATTTTGGATGGGCGGTTATGTACAGAGGGTGTGGTAATTAATTGGGTGAGGGGGGTAGGGTGGGGGTGGGGTAATCCCGGGGAGCAGAATAATCGAGAGGAGGGGGTAGTCAAAATCTGTGTTTCTTCCAGACTTTTTTCTCGGTGCCCCCCGGGGGGGGGGGGACACACACACACTGGTAAAAGTATATATTTTCTATATAAATTCCATTTCGTTCTGGTGGAGGGGGTAGAAATGGTGGGTCGTGTTCTACTTCGTTGTGATCATCTCCATTATAAACCTGCCCGTGTTACAACATCTTAACATAATTAACTCATTAAAATACACGAGCCGGCCGCGGCATAACATACGCCGCTATTTAGTTGTTTCTAATTTTCAATAATTCATAATTTGTGAATTCGACAGTACCAACGCTGACACTGAAAATATTTCTTTAAAACACTATAAGTAGCTCGTTAAGGACCATAACCCCCCCCCTTCCTTCCCCCCCCTCCCCCCCCCCCCCCCCCCTACGTTTAAAATCGTTGGCTCTGCTTGTAAACATTTAGAGTGAACACAGCTCACTAAAACCATGTAGGGGTGGGGAGGTAGGGAGAGCGTTTGCGGCTTGTTTTCTAACGGCTCGAAGAAGAGAATTATATATATAGATACTTGTACATGTTCTTCTAAAGTCATGGACTACGAGATATGAACGTTAACAATAGCTTTGACCATTTATACTATCAGATCATTCTTTAATGAATCACACGCATCTTGTTTCTTCTTCTTCGTTCTTAATTTTTAGTGTTGGGAGGGATCGAGCCTTATCTGCCAGAGGGTTTGAACTCGAGACTTTTTTCGAATTTATCAACCTTGATCTTTTGCCGACTCGACCATGCTTCCATCACAATTAAGGATACGTGTCAACTGGTTATGCGCCATGGCCATTGACTCCGATTTCAGCCTGCTTTTCTTTTTGGATTTGCTTCCATAGCCTTTGTCCAATCAAGAACAAACTACAAGGCAGCAGTTGTTTGATCTGCCCGAGGGTTCGAACTCGAGACTTTTCGGTTTAGCAACCATGAGCTTTACCGACTCGACCACGCCGACCCCTAATCACACGAGTATTAGACTTGTATTTTCAAGATATACATACAATAAAGTTTTATTTTTTACCATACTAATTTAATTTTGAAGGATAAAATGAGAAATTGTCAAAGCTATTATTAATGAATCACTCGAGTATTAGACTGGTATTTTCGAATTATACATAAAATAAAGTTTTATTTTTTACCATACTAATTTTATTTTGAAGGATATAACGAGAAATTGTCTTTGATTTACAGGAAAACCATTCACTGAACCACAACAAACCAGAACAACGCACTATACACTCGCATTTTTAGTCGCAACAGCAATTTATAACAACCAAGCATTTGCCTTTCCCTCCGTAGATATAACTACAAACACAACAAATAATGAAACAACAACAAATACAACTGACTTAGCTTTTGACATTAGGTCTGTAGATAAAACTACAAACACAACAAACACTGTCACGACAGATAGTTATTCAACAATAGATACTACTGACTTAGCGCTTGGTGTTCGGTCTGCAGATAAAACTACAAACACAACATACAACAATACGACAGAAGACCCAAATACAACAACATCAGATCATTTTGACTTGGCGTTGAAGGCTCGGTCGGTAGATGAGACTGAAGATTCATCATATTATGATTACTATGAGTACGAAGATATATATACAAACTCAACATATAACGATACATTTGCAAACTCAACATATAACGGTACATTTACAAACTCAACATATAACGAAACGTCAGCAAAGGATGGAGATGGGATTGGTCAAATAATAGTCGTTGAACAGGTGAGTTTGAATGTAGCTTTTTATCATACTAAGTCAAGTAGAGAAACGTAAACTTTATTAAACTAAGTCAAGTAGAGAAACGTAAACTTTATTAAACTAAGTCAAGTAGAGAAACGTAAGCTTTATCAAACTAAGTCAAGTAGAGAAACGTAAGCTTTATCAAGCTAAGTCAAGGAAAGAGGAAAGTAAATCGGTTAAAACAAACTGGAAAGTTCGAAAGTGAAACCAGCCCGAATGTATTGGCCCCAATCAGTGTTACTTCCAGACTTTTTTCTCCGGGGTGGGGGGGGGGGGATACTTGATATTTTCGGGGGGGGGGGGCGGACTACATTTTCTGGGGAGGGGGGGGGGTGGACACTGGTAAAAGTATATGCTTTTGATATATTTTTATATAAATTCCATTTCGTTTTCGTTCGGGGGGAAGTGAGGGGGGGGGGGCGGCGGTAAACTTTCTTCGGGGTGGGGGGTGGAGAGGGGGGCTCCGTCCCCACGTACCCTGTCTCTCCACTTCCCCGAGAAGAGATGCCTGGAAGAAACTCTGGCCCCAACTTGGAGGAATCGCCCAAAACGAGTACGATAGAGAGCTATTGTTACTTCCCTTTGCTCCATTGTCATGATGATTATGATCATTATGATGATGATGGTTATTATTATCATGATGTGAAGATGATGATTATAATAATAATGATGTCAATCTGACCGAGCAATTTCTATATATATATAATTCTCTTCTGGGAGACGCTAGAAAACAAGCTGTAAGCGCGCTCCCTACCACCCCACCCCTACATAGTCTGGTGAGCTGTGGTTCACGCTAAATGTTTACATTCGTGAGCCGGGTTTAGTGACGGCTATTAGGGGCAGATAATTTAGTTTGAAACGATTTTAAACTTAGGGGAGGTAACTAAGAGGAGGCTGCTTTCACCGGGGGGGGGTATAGGGTAGGGGTTGGGGGAAAGGAGGGTGGGGGTAGTATCGTTCTTAATGACCTACTGATAGTGTTTAAAAGCAAATATTTTCAGTGGCAGCATTGGTAGTGTCAATTTCACAAATTATGAATTACTGAAAAGTAGAAAATAAAACAACTAAAACAAATAGCGGCATATGATATGCCACGGGTCGGCTCGTATTAGTTAATTTAGGTCGAAATTTAAATGATACATTTGTGTTAAATATCAAACAACAGTGTTACATGAGACACAGCCATTTTATTTCTGTAGTTCTAATAGTAATACAGTAAACATCAACTAGAATTTGTTTTTAAAAACTGATCAATAGTTAAAAAATACTCTAATAAAGGATAAAGTATTTTACAAATTTTGACCACATGAGAATCACTACGGCAGTTGAAGTTGAGATCATATTTGTTCCAGTGACCTCTGTGTTACGGGTCATTGTGAGGTCAGATTAGAATAGGTTAGAATAGTCTCGAACCTAGGTGAGAGTGCGTGAGTGAGTTGTGTTCACCCTACTGTGTAGTTACCCTTGTGTGTTTATGTATTGTTATCCCAAGGTCGAATGCGGGTATAAAAGCGCGAGTGAACGATTGTAGGCAGCGTTTCTTCCAGACTTTTTTCTCCGGGGGGGGGGGGCAATTGAAATCTTCGGGGGGGGGGGGGCAGTAAACTTTCTTCGGGGGGGCGGACACTGTTAAAAGTATATATTTTCTATATAAATTATATAAATTTCATTTCGTTCGGGGGGACTCAGCCGTGAGATTCGAAATCTTACCTTACGTGTTAGCAGTCGAGAGCTCTTCTACCCGACCATGCCATCTTCTAATCTAAACGATAATATGGAAACTCTTGTTTAAAAGCCTGAAGGCGTTAGGCTTACATGGTGGTTTTTTTTGTTCCGCCGTTTTACTATAGCCTTGTTACTTTCTCGTGTATTGAGGAAATATTGTAATCGTGCAAAAAATCGAAATCGAGATTTTCACTCATCTCGACGTTTTAAACCTCCCTGATTCGGAAAAACTTAGTTTTGCAATTTTACCTGAATGTCTGTGTGTCTGTATGTGAACACGGTGATTTGAGTACCGAAACGGCTAGGTTGACGAAATTTCATTTATAAGTATTATTTCAAACCTGTAGTTCTGTATCACTTTTTCAGAGATTTCCGGTAACCGGAAGTGGAACTTATTCTGCTCTCGTTTTTTCAAACGCCTATAAGTTAGGTTCTGTTTCAGATAGATAGACGAAATTTCACTTATATGTAGAGGATCTAATTCTTTGTTCTCTTACAAATTGAAAGTAATTTCCGTTGACCGAAAGTAGTACTTTACCCTATTTCCGACTTCTCAATAAAACGCATATGAATTTATTTCTCTGTCTTTCGTTCGTCACAATCGCAAACTTGCTAGCAAAAATTCAAACACTTCTACTTGACCGAATTATTTTAAACTTATCACTTACGCCAAGATTCGAAGACAAAGTATTGTGACATAAAATGTTACTTAATTAGGTGATTAATTAACTCTTTGAAAATTAATCAAGGTTTTTTTTTATTTTTTAAAGTACTTATGTTCCGCAACATTATATACTCACTGTTTCTGTTCGCTTGTTGCGTAATTTTTTTCTACGGTATGCTTTTCTATTTAAAAAAATCATTATTTTTAAAACAAGTTAATTAAAAAGACTAGTGACAATTTAAGCGCAATTTCCTTATGTTATCCATAACAATTTTAAATCGTCATCACGTTCAACAGATGCGTCATAACGTTCCATGGCTGCGCCATCTCGTCAGTAGGCGCGCAATGGTTTTTAGTCATATAACTATATTGCTATATAGTACTGTAGTGTATTATGTATAATGTAAGTTTAAAATTTTTTTTGTGACCGAACGAAAGGATATTTTTGAAAACTTTCTTCGGCAATATTGTTCTAAATTATGGCAGGAATCGATTGGTAAATGTTTCAAGTCGCTAAGTGGTCTGGTTGCCGAGATATTGGCCAAAAACTGCATTTTTTCGAGGTTTTTTGGCTTTTCTGGGAAATCTAGGAAGGAATTTCGGAATTTTGTTGGCCCACTATCATCCTCGTAACTTGCTTAACATAATTGCTTTTGGAACTAGTCCTCGATATTGCTTCGTTGAGGAGGAGATACGACTTAAAGCTGTGAATACACATCCATCCATCCGTCCATCCAAAAATGACGGGTTAATAAACGCAATGGAGGCGAGCGAGTTGACGAGATTCCTTCCATAATGTTGTTGTCATGGAATAAAAACGTGCTTTTTAGATTTAGACCGTAAAAAAAAATAAAAAATAAAAACTTAAGCCTAAAATTAATTTAGAAATTTTATATTCTTAGAATAAATGCTATAAAAGTTGCAAATCCAGAGAACTTGAAAATAATTTGTTGAGTTTAAGGCTACATTTCTATTTATTTTCATCAAGCCTAAGTTATAACCGGATGTTTCACTTTCGTAAGACAAATATTGATTGGCTGTACAGTAACTTAGTAATCGATAACTATTTGTTTACAAAACTTTGCAGATCAAGTTTTTAAATTACAATGCAAATTTAAAACCCCATGACCTAGTTTTCTATTTTTAGCTTACAATGTGTACAATAAAATCTATGGCAGCCTATCCAATAGCAGGATGCCATGTTTATGTCGCCATTACACGTGAAAACCAAATTGTTTTTGCTTTTTTTTAAATTTTTATTTAGTTACCGAAAATATTATAAACATCAAATACATCCAATCTTTAGTAAAGTCCGAAAAAAACCAGACAGGCAGGATTTTATAAACATATTAATTGTAAATACGCTGTGCATGATTTTTTAATGAATTTATACACCTCTCAAATACCTTTGAGACTTTTCTCGCTGGTGTCCATTCTCCAGAATGGAAATTGCGCTAAAAAATGATTTTTTTAAAACAATATCTATATCCCGACTGCACTGGATTTCGAGTCCCATTCCCTTAAATGTTATCTAAGAATATTCGAGAAAGTTTAGGTAAGGTCGATCGGGCTTTGTTATTTTTTTTCCCCATTACGGTTGAAAGGGCTGCTGAAACAAATCTTATTTACGAAATGGTTTGTTAATTCATTTTGTAGCCAAACACAGATGCGAAACCAGGGACAACAAATCAAGGAGCTGGACCTTCAGGAGCTGGAAATACAGGAACCGGTAATACAGGAACCGGAAATACAGGAACCGGCAATACAGGAGCCGGAAATACAGGAACCGGTAATACAGGACCCGGAAATACAGGAGCCGGTAATACAGGAGCCGGAAATACAGGAGCCGGAAATACAGGGGCAGCGAAGCCAGGAACTGGAAATACAGGAACCGGAAATACAGGAGCCGGAAATACAGGAGCCGGAAATACAGGAGCCGGAAATACAGGAGCCGGAAATACAGGAACCGGAAATACAGGAGCCGGAAATACAGGAGCCGGAAATACAGGAGCCGGAAATACAGGAGCCGGAAATACAGGGGCAGCGAAGCCAGGAACCGGAAATACAGGAACCGGAAATACAGGAACCGAAAATGCAGGAACCGGAAATACAGGAGCCGGAAATACAGGAACCGGAAATACAGGAACCGGTAATAAAGGAACTGGTAGTGCAGGAGCCGGCAATACAGGAACCGGCAATACAGGAACCGGAAATACAGGAACCGGAAATACAGGAACCGGAAATACAGGAACCGGAAATACAGGAACCGGAAATACAGGAACCGGAAATACAGGAACCGGTAATACAGGAACCGGAAATACAGGAACCGGAAATACAGGAACCGGTAATACAGGAGCAGCAAAGCCAGGAACCGGAAATACAGGAACCGGAAATACAGGAACCGGAAATACAGGAGCAGCGAAGCCAGGAACCGGAAATACAGGAACCGGAAATACAGGAACCGGAAATACAGGAACCGGTAATACAGGAGCAGCGAAGCCAGGAACCGGAAATACAGGAACCGGAAATACAGGAACCGGTAATACAGGAGCAGCGAAGCCAGGAGCCGGTAATTCAGGAGCTGTTAATCCATCACCTCCAAAGTCAGGAGCCCCAAAGCCACCAGCAGTCAACACAGGAGCAATGCGCCCAGGTTTCGGTAATCCACCAATGCGCCCAGGTCCCGTTAATCCACCAAAAGCCCCTTGGACTACAGGTAAAAAAGGAGATTCAAACACAAGTCATAAAAATGGCTACAGAGTAAACACATCTAATGAAAAGGTAAGTTTTTTTTTCTTCTTTAAAGCACTATGAAAGCAAATTACGAAGTAGCTGATGTAATAGATCTAAACAATTCAAACACTTTAAACCTGCGTAGTGTTCTATATTTTAAAAAACAAGCAAAATTTTATACTATATTTTTTTTTCTAGCCAAAACAAATGGTGGGCGTACAGAAAACAAATAAACCATGCGCTAAGAAAGAATCGTCGAAACCGTGGAGACAAATTTCGAATTCTAAATTTGTTGTCAAACATCCTTCAAGCTCAAATAGCCATCATGGTAGCAAGTCATTTAAAGTCAATAACGGAAACCATCATTTATGGTGATCGGACTCATTTGGTTGCAGTGCAGTACCAGTGCTAGCTGTATATAGCACCAGTGCTAGCTATATATAGCGCCAGTGCTGGCTATACACAGCACCAGTGCTAGATATATAGCACCAGTGCTAGCTATATACTGCACCAGTGCTAGCTATATATAGCACCAGTGCTGCATTGTAAAATAAAATAGTTGCACTTTTTATTAATTAATTAATTTTTTTTCTTAAAGCTAGCTAAAGAATTTTGTTTCCGTTTTAAATTTAGTCGCTTTCATTTGATTTTATTTATTTAACCTTCCTTAACACACATTCAAATGTTTATAAATCTTGTTAAAAAGTGTGTTTAAGTTTACTGTTTTGTTAACTATGAGATATTGTTTAATTGTAATTTCTCCAAGAAATAAATGTCAATAGTCTTAATGATTCATTACAACGTGGATTAATAATATTGTGGGTAGACTTTGTTTCCTGAATATTTGTTTTTCCGTTTTCAACATCATTTATTGTAAATCTTAGTTTTAATTATTATCATTTAAACATAGCTACGTTGTCTATGTTTTTGCTTGTAAATTTATTTAATTGTGTTTAACTTTTTTGTATAAGGGATTGCAATGAATAGTTTTTATGAAAAATTAGATAAACCATTTTTCCTTTTAGTTTGCGACTAATTTTAAAGCATTTATGCATTGCTGAATTCTTCATTATTAAATATTTTTACTCACAATGTACATTGTCTTAATTAATTTTTTTTATTTAAATTAAACTTAAGAAATTAAACTAAAGTGAAGTAGCATTACTAACCCCCCTCCTAACCTCCTTCCCGTTTAATTCTGTAAACTTTAAATATAGGTCTAAAGGACTTAGAAAGCAAGCAATATAATGCTAATAAATATATAGGACGTATGAAATAAGCAATATAATGCAAATCAATTTGCCTACAGATAACATTCGACAAACTTTAAAGAATAAAATAATTGATAGGAAAAGTATAGGACAGCTAGAACGTCACATTCTGACTGCTATTGTGTGTGTCTTTTAGTCTGACAGTAATTTTGTCTGTCCTTTTGTCTGTCTACTATTTTGTTTTTCCTTCAGTCTGAATGTTATTTTATTTGTCTTTCTGACCGTCATTTAAATTGTCCGTCCTTCTGTCCGTCTGTAATTGTGTCTGTCGTTCTGTCTGTATGCCCTTCCGTCGATCCATCTGTCAGTTTAAGACGGATTTATTTTCTCTTTTTTTGACTCTCTTCTAATGATGCGACTATTCAGTCTTTCAGATACGTTTTTCTACAGAGACCTCACAAATATCTAATTTTAAATCTAAGTAACAATTAAAATCTATTTAAAAATGGATATGTTCCACAACTAAAGAGGAGATAACAAGACTAAATACTAGAAAACCCGGGATCAGCGAGGTAGGGTAGATAATTGTCTACTAAGATTAAGATTGCAACCTTTTGAACGCGTTAAAAAGCAAATATTGTTTTGTCGTATGTGTTGTGATTTCATTAAAAAAAGATCGTAATGCAAACACGTAAGTGTTAATTATTGTAAAATACTAAATATTTAATTGCTTTGTGTAATGTGTTTATTAATACTAGATGGGAGATAATAAAACAAAATAACAACCTTTAAATACGAAGCCTTTAATTCTTTAAATGCACTAAAATAAGCAAAACCAAAAAAGCCCTATTCAATACAAGCCATCGTTACATTTCTTTCGTTTTTCGTTTTGGTTTTACTTTCTTTTTAAAGATATCCATACACATGGTGGGAAATTTTGTAGTTGTGTTATTACTTAATTGCTTATTTTTCGTAAGTCAAAACATTTTTGACTCAGTATTACTATAAAAATTCCATTATTTAAAGAAAAAAAAAGATTTTTTTTGCTGTAAGATTTAGGTAAATAGTGTTTTAAAACAAAGATTTCGGCAGAAATTGTGTATGCTATTTAATTTTTTACGTCCAATAGTTGTTACGTTTAAAATGAAAATTTCATCTTTTAAACTTACGTTGATCATACATGGGGTAAATTAATAAAAGGAGAAAACATTCGATGTGTGTTTGTTTTGTTTTGAGTTGTAATATTTTACTTAAACTTTTTAAATACTTTTTTTTTAAACAAGAAATAACACATCTATTAGCAAAACAAAATTAAAAAAAACATTTAAACAAATTCAAATGAAAATTTTAAAGAAATAAACAGAAACAGGTAGCCAATATGGTTCGAATTGAAATTCTGTCTTATGAATAATATACACGTTTAAGAAATCTACTAAAGTTTGACATTTTGGATATTAGCCGGTCACTAGGAGTTGATATTGGCCAAACTGACTGGCCGATTCGCGAATAAACCGACTTCGGGGCTTGGCCACGACATACATAATGTATAGAAACCCCGATGGCCTGCTGGTGATGACTTGGTGACCCCTCTTGTTGCTTGGATCAACAAACTCGCTCTACAGGAGCGGACTAGCGTTAGATCAATCATAAACAGATGTCGATCATAAAGGAAGCCACACTCCTTTGGGTGGGTGGGGGGGGGGGGTGTTGGCACTTTTGTGGCGATGTATGGCGGCGAAGAAAGAGACGACATAATTTTGCCAATTTTTTTTTTTTTTGGAAACTTAATTTTAGTCATTATTTTTCGATTTTTTTTCAACAATGTTTGTGTAAATTTGAAAAGAAATTAATTACTTACGTTAAGCCAAGTCTAAGAAATAAATTCGAAAAACAAACATAGGAATTTTAAAAAGGGGGAGAGGGATGTTGTAGGCTATGTTACGTCATTGAAGGGATTTTGCCTTATAATAATAATGGAAAACATCTATTTGGTATGATAACAACTATGGTAGCAACTAATATGGCTTCATATTCTAACAGGCTATTAGATGAATGCGTATTGGATATCCAAGAACAAAAACTGGGCCCTAAGTTATAAAAAGCCAGATGTCATTGTATCAGGTCCCCCTCCCTTCTCTCCACACTTCTGATATACACAAGGAACAAGACAATACCTGTACAGCTTGGAATATTCAGTGTCGCAGGAGCTGCCGAGAGTTGGTAACCCTTTCGCTTAATGGGCTCTACTCATGCGTGAGTTCGGACTTTTCTCTCCTAGATGGGTTGCTGTCTCCAGAGCTTGAGACTCTTGTTTTATCAATCATGAGCTTGCACGCCCGAATACTCTGAAAGGGTGGGGGTTTGTAGGCTATATCACGTCAATGTAGGGGTGTTAGTTTATTATGACGACGGAAGTAAGAATATCTTTTCTATGATAGCACTTAGATTGAAAGTCATGACATACGTACAAACAAAAAAGGTTGAACCTTGACTTAACAGGTTCATACTAAGTAGAGTAATGATAATTGGTACGTAGAGTCGTCTCCAGACGGAAATTAATATTTCTGAGTTGTGTTTCTTGGGCAGTGTTTTAACATTTCGGTGTGTAAGCTTACTATGTTTACAAGCTTTGGATAATGTAACAAAATGGAAAGATGTAATGTGACACTAAGTTTTTTTTTGTAAAATCGTAAATTATGCCTGTTTTATGCATTAAAATAATTTGTAGTTTCTTACAGGCAGAAAACAAATGAAAAATTCTTTCCGATAGCAACAATTGAATCGTACTTCAAAAACAAATTAAGGGGAACAATTTCCTTTATTCAAGATAGTAACCGATTATCTGATCTTTAATGGAAAAAAACCAATACATTTTTAAATTGATTTTTCATGTGGAAAAACTAAAAAAAAATTATAGCATCCCGTCTACTCAATCGTTGTAATTAAATCTTCTATATTAATTTAGCTGCAATGAAAGCGCCGATAGTAGAGTAAAAATAACACAGTACATCACAGAAAATTATTGAAACATCTTTTCAAACACATACTCTTAAAACTTAAATTTATTTTAGATTTTGAATGCAAAATTAAACAAAGGGAAACAACTGATTGAAAAACAGGAACAGGTATTCATTGTTTAGCTAAAAATTTAAAATTTAAATTTTTTAAATAAACAATTCAAAATTATTAAGAAATAATTATTTAATGGCGCTTCATTAATAAATAAAAGAGATGTTATCTGCGTGAGAATAATCGAGCTCTCTGTGTGAGAAGTTAAGAGCACACTGCGTTGAACAACGATCTCCGGAGCGTGCTAAGTAAAGAGTAGTCGACCCTGAAGAAGGCCACCCGTGTTGACGAGCTGAGTGACGCCAGTGAGGCCTGAGTCACGTTCGCGCCGACTCCAACAGAGATGACCTTGACACCGGAAATCTGGAGTCTTATGGACTCTAGCTCTGCTTGGCTGTCTGTAATGGTATAGGGTTAGGGGGGGGGGAGGTATTGAAAATATTGTTATTACATATTTGAATATTTTCAACAAAGGCTTGGTTCAAAACATTATTGTTGCCTAAGTTACGATTATTGTGGTCAGCACTATGCTCAGCCGACTTTACTTCTCCCCAACGTGATGCAGGTACCCATTAGAGCTGAGTGGACTCAGAGACGTACTACAGTCATAAGACCCGAACAGTAATCGAGGTCTTCGGGCTAGTAGCCGAACGCTCTACCATTCGACCACGCCGTCCTTACCCACTTACATACACGATCTGCGCGACTTAAGTAATGTTTAACATCTAAAGAACAGGAGATGGAGAGCAGTGTTTCTTCCAGACTTTTTTCTCCGGGGGGGAGGGGCACTTGAAATTTTCGGTGGGGGGGGGGGGGCGGTAGACTTTTTTCAAGGGGGGGGGGGGTGGCAGACACTGTTAAAAGTATATATCTTCTATATAAATTATATAAATTTCATTTCGTTAAGGGGGGGGGGGGGGGCGGTAGAATTTTTAAGAAACTCTGATGGAGAGTTGAGCATTTTTCTCACCATGTTACCCACTGCTAGTACCATGCACGGTCCCTTCCAATGTATTTCACATCGTAATATTGTACGTCCTTTTGAAATATTTAACTATTGATGCTTGGGTGTAAACACAATTAAGCCAACTTTTTATTGACGGGTTACTCCAATTCAGAGTTTCTTCCAGGCATCTCTTCGGGGGGTCTAAGCCCCCCCGAAAATTTTTTACCGCCCCCCCCCCCCCCCCCCCCCCCGAACAAAATGAAATTTATATAATTTATGTAGAAAATATATACTTTTAACAGTGTCCGCCCCCCGAAGAAAGTCTACAGCCCCCCCCCCCCCGAAAATTTCAAGTGCCCCCACCCCCCCCCCCCCCCGGAGAAAAAAGGTCTGGAAGAAACACTGCTCCGATTTCAGCCTGTTTCTCTTAATGGATTTTCTTCCATAGCCTTTGTCCAACCAATAACAAACAAGGCAACAGTTGCTTCTTCTTCTTCGTTCTTAATGTTACTATTGTAAGTGATCCCCTCCAACACAATTAGGTATACTTGTCTACTGGTTATGCGCCATTCAGGCCATTGACTCCAATTTCCGCCTGCTTTTCTTTTTTTATTTGCTTCCATAGCCTTTGTCCAACCAAGAACAAACTACAAGGCAGCAGTTGTTTGATTTTAGCGTTGTCTCTCCCAGAAGAGTGACTGTCCCCAACTAATGAGCCTCATCTTTTTGGTTTAGCAATCATGAGCTTTACCGACTCGACCACGCCGATTCTGTTTGATTCTGGAGTTGTCTCTCCTAGATTGGCTTCTGTCCCCATTTGACAAGCCTCATCTAACTGGGGGTCCGAACTCGGGACTTTTAGTTAACAATCATGCGCACTACTACCCGACCATACCATACCAACCTAAATTTATGAAAGGGAACATGTTAACTATTTTACTCACCAGTTAAGGCGTTGGTTATGACGACTGCAACTTTCTTTCGACCAGTAGCTTTGTAGGAAACTTCCCGACCGTATCTTAAGGCATCAGCAAGTTTAGACGGCCCATCATAGCCAGGGCATTGGGTACTGTTGATCGCCTGAAAAAAATAATTGTAGGGCACGATGTAGTGGTCCATTTTGAACTACGTCATATTTGTAATTATTTTTTTTTAAAATCCTTTTTAGACATATAGATCCATTAGGCAGAAGAAGTAGAGGTCATACGCCTCTTGACATCGGTATATAGGGTTATAATGTTGTCAGAACTAAACCCAGCCGCCTTTTTCCCCTAACGTGAGTTAGGTACCCATCAGAGCTTGGTCGACTCAGGGACTCACTGGCTTGAGCTCGGATTTGAACTCGAGACCTTCGAGTTAGAAGTCTAGAGCTTTACCTCTTGTCTCATAGATTTAATTATTAAATAACTTAAAAACAATTAAGTATAATTTTAAAACACTTCTTGGAATATGTAGGCTTATTCCTAAGAATTCAAAAACTTACCCAAACAACTTCTGAGTTCTGGGAATACTTGTTGAAGTCGAATATCTCTGAGACGTTCGGGCCAGAGTAGACCAAGCTGACTTGAAAGGAGTCGTTGGAGATTTTGAAATCAGAGAGGAAATCTGTCATGAAGTCACGAAGCTGTTCACAGTTTGTGCTACTGAGGCTCGCTGTAATATCGACTATGAGCAGAAGCTGTATTTGTTCCGTGCAAGGCAGTGCGAAGTTGGCGTCAATGGACCTTTTTCCTCTATAAAATCCTAATCCTCCTATTTGAGGACTGGGTGGATTATTAGATCTAAATCCTCCTATTTGAAGACTTGGAGGATTATTGGGACTAGGTGCCGCTATTTGTGGATTAAGAGGATTATTGGATTTAAATCCTCCTATTTGAGGACTAGGAGGATTATTGGGACTAGGTGCTGCTATTTCTGGATTAGCTGGATTATTGGGTCTAAATCCTCCTATTTGAGGACTAGGAGGATTATTGGGACTAGGTGCCGCTATTTGTGGATTAAGAGGATTATTGGATCTAAATCCTCCTATTTGAGGACTAGGAGGATTATTGGGACTAGGTGCTGCTATTTCTGGATTAGCTGGATTATTGGGTCTAAATCCGCCAATTTGAGGACTAGGAGGATTATTGGGACTAGGTGCCGCTATTTGTGGATTAAGAGGATTATTGGATCTAAATCCTCCTATTTGAGGACTAGGAAGATTATTGGGACTAGGTGCTGCTATTAGTGGATTAGCTGGATTATTGGGTCTAAATCCGCCAATTTGAGGACTAGGAGGATTATTGGGACTAGGTGCTGCTATTTCTGGATTAGCTGGATTATTGGGTCTAAATCCTCCTATTTGAGGACTAGGAGGATTATACGGACTAGGTGCTGCTATTTGTGGATTAGCAGGATTATTGGGTCTAAATCCATCTATTTGAGGACTAGGAGGATTATTGGGACTAGGTGCTGCTATTTGTGGATTAGCTGGATTATTGGGTCTAAATCCGCCAATTTGAGGACTAGGAGGATTAATGGGATTAGGTGCTGCTATTTGTGGATTAGCAGGATTATTGGGTAAAAATCCTGCTATTTGAGGACTAGGAGGATTATTGGGACTAGGTGCTGCTATTTCTGGATTAGCTGGATTATTGGGTCTAAATCCTCCTATTTGAGGACTAGGAGGATTATTCGGACTAGGTGCTGCTATTTGTGGATTAGCAGGATTATTGGGTCTAAATCCATCTATTTGAGGACTAGGAGGATTATTGGGACTAGGTGCTGCTATTTGTGGATTAGCTGGATTATTGAGTCTAAATCCGCCAATTTGAGGACTAGGTGGATTAATGGGATTAGGTGCTGCTATTTGTGGATTAGCAGGATTATTGGGTAAAAATCCTGCTATTTGTGGACCAGGAGAATTATTGGGACTAGGTGCTGCTATTTGTGGATAAGAAGGATTATTCGGTCCAAGTCCTCCTATTTGAGGACTAGGAGGATTATTCGGGCTAGGTGCGGCTATTTGTGAATTAAGAGGATTATTGGATCTTAATCCTCCTATTAGAAGACTAGTAAGATTAATTGTACTAGGTGTTGATATTTGTGGATTTGCAGGATTATTAAGTTCAAATCCACTTATTTGAGCACTAGGAGGATTATTTGGAATACGTGCTGCTATTTGTGGATTAAGAGGGTTATTGGATCTAAATCCTCCTCCTATTTGAGGACTAGGAGGATTAATGGGATTTGGTGGTGCTATTTGTGGATTAGCAATATTATTGGGTCTATTTCCGCCTATTTGAGGACTAGGAGGATTAATGGGATTAAGTGCTACTATCTGTGGACCAGGAGGATTATTCCGACTAGGTGTTCCTATTTGTGAACTAGCTGGATTATTGGGAAGATTATTGAGCCCAAATTTTCGAGGTTTAGGGGGATTGTTGGGTCCAAATCCTCCCATTTGAGGACTGGGAAGATTATTGGGCCTTAGTGCTCCGATTTGGGGATTAGAAGGATTATTAGGTTTCAATCCTCCTATTAGCCAACCAAGATGATTTTTTGATTTAGATCCTCCTGTTTGCCAACCTTGATTACTTTTGGATTTAGATTTTCCCACTGGCCAACTATGATTTTTGGATTTAGATTTTCCCATTGGCCAACTATGATGACTTTTGGATTTAAATTTTCCCATTGGCCAACTATGATGACTTTTGGATTTAGATTTTCCCATTGGCCAACTATGATTTTTGGATTTAGATTTTCCCATTGGCCAACTATGATGACTTTTGGATTGAGATTTTCCCATTGGCCAATTATGATTTTTGGATTTAGATCCTCCTTTTTGGGGACTATGATGACTTTTGGATTTAGAATTTCCAATTGGCCAATTATGATTTTTGGATTTAGATCCTCCTTTTTGGGGACTATTATGACTTTTGGATTTAGATTTTCCTATTGGCCAACTATGAATACTTTTGGATTTAGATTTTCCTATAGGCCAATTATGATTTTTGGATTTAGATCCTCGTTTTTGGGGACTGTGATGACTTTTTGATTTAGATTTTCCTATTGGCCAAGGATGATTTTTGGATTTAGATCCTCCTTCTTGGGGACTATGATGACTTTTGGATTTAGATTTTCCCATTGGCCAACTATGATGACTTTTGGATTTAGATTTTCCTATTGGCCAATTATGATTTTTGGATTTAGATCCTCCTTTTTGGGGACTATGATGACTTTTGGATTTAGATTTTCCCATTGGCCAACTATGATGACTTTTGGATTTAGATTTTCCTATTGGCCAATTATGATTTTTGGATTTAGATCCTCCTTTTTGGGGACTATGATGACTTTTGGATTTAGATTTTCCCATTGGCCAACTATGATGACTTTTGGATTTAGATTTTCCTATTGGCCAACTATGATTTTTGGATTTAGATCCTCCTTTTTTGGGACTATGATGACTTTTGGCTTTAGAATTTCTAATTGGCCAATTATGATTTTTGGATTTAGATCCTCCTTTTTGGGGACTGTGATGACTTTTGGATTTAGATTTTCCTATTGGCCAACTATGATTTTTGGATTTAGATCCTCCTTTTTGGGGACTATGATGACTTTTGGATTTAGATTTTCCCATTGGCCAACTATGATGACTTTTGGATTTAGATTTTCCTATTGGCCAACTATGATTTTTGGATTTAGATCCTCCTTTTTTGGGACTATGATGACTTTTGGCTTTAGAATTTCTAATTGGCCAATTATGATTTTTGGATTTAGATCCTCCTTTTTGGGGACTGTGATGACTTTTGGATTTAGATTTTCCTATTGGCCAACTATGATTTTTGGATTTAGATCCTCCTTTTTGGGGACTATGATGACTTTTGGATTTAGAATTTTCAAATGGCCAATTATGATTTTTGGATTTAGATCCTCCTTTTTGGGGACTATGATGACTATTGGATTTAGATTTTCCTATTGGCCAACTATGATGACTTTTGGATTTAGATTTTCCTATTGGCCAATTATGACTTTTGGATTTAGATCCTCGTTTTTGGGGACTGTGATGACTTTTGGATTTAGATTTTCCTATTGGCCAAGGATGATTTTTGGATTTAGATCCTCCTTTTTGGGGACTATGATGACTTTTGGATTTAGATTTTCCCATTGGCCAACTATGATGACTTTTTGATTTAGATTTTCCTATTGGCCAAGTATGATTTTTGGATTTAGATCCTCCTTTTTTGGGACTATGATGACTTTTGGATTTAGATTTTCCCATTGGCCAACTATGATGACTTTTGGATTTAGATTTTCCTATTGGCCAAGTATGATTTTTGGATTTAGATCCTCCTTTTTGGGGACTATGATGACTTTTGGATTTAGATTTTCCCATTGGCCAACTATGATGACTTTTGAATTTAGATTTTCTTATTGGCCAATTATGATTTTTGGATTTAGATCCTCCTTTTTGGGGACTATGATGACTTTTGGATTTAGATTTTCCTATTGGCCAAGGATGATTTTTGGATTTAGATCCTCCTTTTTGGGGACTATGATGACTTTTGGATTTAGATTTTCCCATTGGCCAATTATGATGACTTTTGGATTTAGATTTTCCTATTTGCCAACTATGATTTTTGGATTTAGGTCCTCCTTTTTGGGGACTATGATGACTTTTGGATTTAGATTTTCCCATTGGCCAACTATGATGACTTTTGGATTTAGATTTTCCTATTGGCCAAGTATGATTTTTGGATTTAGATCCTCCTTTTTGGGGACTATGATGACTTTTGGATTTAGATTTTCCTATTGTCCAACTATGATGACTTTTGGATTTAGATTTTTCAATTGACCAACTATGATGACTTTTGGATTTAGATTTTCCTATTGGCCAACTATGATTTTTGGATTTAGATTCTCCTTTTTGGGGACTATGATGACTTTTGGATTTAGATTTTCCTATTGGCCAACTATGATGACTTTTGGATTTAGATTTTTCAATTGACCAACTATGATGACTTTTGGATTTAGAATTTCCATTTGACCAACTATGATGACTTTTGGATTTAGATTTTCCTATTGACCAACTATGATGACTTTTGGATTTAGATTTTTCCATGGACCAACTATGATGACTTTTGGATTTAGATTTTTCCATTGGCCAACTATGATGTTTTTTGGATTTAGATCTTCCTCGGCTACGACTTTTGGTATTATATTTTGACTTGGAGCCAAAGTAATGCGAGTGAGTGGATGAACCAGAATGCGATTCATGCGAGCTACTGTTAGGAGGTTTTCTGGTGTGTTTACTAGTGGTGGTTCGAGTTGTAATTGGAGAAATTGTTGATGGTGTGGAGGGCGTGCCAGACGATGTTGTTAAATCAGTAGTGGTTTCAGTTCTTGGTGATGTTGTAGTTTCTTGGGAGGTTGACGTTCCAGCAGAGGTTGTTGTTTCCGAGGATGTTGTTGAACCCAGCGAGGTTGTTGATTCTGATGAGGTTGAAGTTTCTGGAGTGGTTGTGAATTCTGGGGATGTTGTGCTTTCTGGAGTGGTTGTAGATTCTGAAGAAGATGAAGTTTCTGTGGATGTTGTACTTTCTGGAGTGGTTGTAGATTCTGAGGAAGATGACGTTTCTGTGGATGTTGTACTTTCTGGAGTGGTTGTAGATTCTGAAGAAGATGACGTTTCTGTGGATGTTGTACTTTCTGGAGTGGTTGTAGATTCTGAAGAAGATGATGTTTCTGTCGATGTTGTACTTTCTGAAGTGGTTGTAGATTCTGAAGAAGGTGACGTTTCTGTGGATGTTGTACTTTCTGGAGTGGTTGTAGATTCTGAAGAAGATGACGTTTCTGTGGATGTTGTACTTTCTTGAGTGGCTGTAGATTCTGAAGAAGATGACGTTTCTTGGGATGTTGTACTTTCTGGAGTGGTTGTAGATTCTGAGGAAGATGAAGTTTCTGTGGATGTTGTACTTTCTGGAGTGGTTGTAGATTCTGAGGAAGATGAAGTTTCTGTTGATGTTGTACTTTCTGGAGTGGTTGTAGATTCTGAAGAAGATGACGTTTCTGTCGATGTTGTACTTTCTGGAGTGGTTGTAGATTCTGAAGAAGATGACATTTCTATGGATGTTGTACTTTCTGGAGAGGTTGTAGATTCTGAAGAAGGTGACGTTTCTGTGGATGTTGTACTTTCTGGAGTGGTTGTAGATTCTGAAGAAGATGACGTTTCTGTGGATGTTGTACTTTCTTGAGTGGTTGTAGATTCTGAGGAAGATGAAGTTTCTGTTGATGTTAAACTTTCTGGAGTGGTTGTAGATTCTGAAGAAGATGACGTTTCTGTGGATGTTGTACTCTCTGGAGTGGTTGTAGATTCGGAGGAAGATGACGTTTCCGTTGATGTTGTACTTTCTGGAGTGGTTGTAGATTCTGAAGAAGATGACGTTTCTGTGGATGTTGTACTTTCTGAAGTGGTTGTAGATTCTGAAGAAGGTGACGTTTCTGTGGATGTTGTACTTTCTGGAGTGGTTGTAGATTCTGAGGAAGATGAAGTTTCTGTTGATGTTGTACTTTCTGGAGTGGTTGTAGATTCTGAAGAAGATGACGTTTCTGTGGATGTTGTACTTTCTGGAGTGGTTGTAGATTCTGAAGAAGATGATGTTTCTGTGGATGTTGTACTTTCTGGAGAGGTTGTAGATTCTGAAGAAGATGACGTTTCTGTGGATGTTGTACTTTCTGGAGTGGTTGTAGATTCTGAAGAAGATGATGTTTCTGTCGATGTTGTACTTTCTGGAGAGGTTGTAGATTCTGAGGAAGATGAAGTTTCTGTGGATGTTGTACTTTCTTGAGTGGTTGTAGATTCTGAGGAAGATGAAGTTTCTGTTGATGTTAAACTTTCTGGAGTGGTTGTAGATTCTGAAGAAGATGACGTTTCTGTGGATGTTGTACTCTCTGGAGTGGTTGTAGATTCTGAGGAAGATGACGTTTCCGTTGATGTTGTACTTTCTGGAGTGGTTGTAGATTCTGAAGAAGATGACGTTTCTGTGGATGTTGTACTTTCTGGAGTGGTTGTAGATTCTGAAGAAGATGATGTTTCTGTCGATGTTGTACTTTCTGAAGTGGTTGTAGATTCTGAAGAAGGTGACGTTTCTGTGGATGTTGTACTTTCTGGAGTGGTTGTAGATTCTGAAGAAGATGACGTTTCTGTGGATGTTGTACTTTCTTGAGTGGCTGTAGATTCTGAGGAAGATGAAGTTTCTTGGGATGTTGTACTTTCTGGAGTGGTTGTAGATTCTGAGGAAGATGAAGTTTCTGTTGATGTTGTACTTTCTTGAGTGGCTGTAGATTCTGAGGAAGATGAAGTTTCTGTGGATGTTGTACTTTCTGGAGTGGTTGTAGATTCTGAGGAAGATGAAGTTTCTGTTGATGTTGTACTTTCTGGAGTGGTTGTAGATTCTGAAGAAGATGACGTTTCTGTGGATGTTGTACTTTCTGGAGTGGTTGTAGATTCTGAAGAAGATGATGTTTCTGTGGATGTTGTACTTTCTGGAGAGGTTGTAGATTCTGAAGAAGATGACGTTTCTGTGGATGTTGTACTTTCTGGAGTGGTTGTAGATTCTGAAGAAGATGATGTTTCTGTCGATGTTGTACTTTCTGGAGAGGTTGTAGATTCTGAGGAAGATGAAGTTTCTGTGGATGTTGTACTTTCTTGAGTGGTTGTAGATTCTGAGGAAGATGAAGTTTCTGTTGATGTTAAACTTTCTGGAGTGGTTGTAGATTCTGAAGAAGATGACGTTTCTGTGGATGTTGTACTCTCTGGAGTGGTTGTAGATTCTGAGGAAGATGACGTTTCCGTTGATGTTGTACTTTCTGGAGTGGTTGTAGATTCTGAAGAAGATGACGTTTCTGTGGATGTTGTACTTTCTGAAGTGGTTGTAGATTCTGAAGAAGGTGACGTTTCTGTGGATGTTGTACTTTCTGGAGTGGTTGTAGATTCTGAAGAAGATGACGTTTCTGTGGATGTTGTACTTTCTGGAGTGGTTGTAGATTCTGAAGAAGATGATGTTTCTGTCGATGTTGTACTTTCTGGAGTGGTTGTAGATTCTGAGGAAGATGACATTTCTGTGGATGTTGTACTTTCTTGAGTGGTTGTAGATTCTGAAGAAGATGATGTTTCTGTCGATGTTGTACTTTCTGGAGTGGTTGTAGATTCTGAAGAAGATGACGTTTCTGTGGATGTTGTACTTTCTTGAGTGGTTGTAGATTCTGAAGAAGATGACGTTTCTTGAGATGTTGTACTTTCTGTAGTGGTTGTAGATTCTGAAGAAGATGACGTTTCTGTGGATGTTGTACTTTCTGGAGTGGTTGTAGATTCTGAAGAAGTTGACGTTTCTTGAGATGTTGTACTTTCTGTGGAGGTTGTTGAACCAGGGGAGGTTGTAGATTCTGGGGAGGTTGAATCGTCTGGACATGTGGTTGAAGCTGGGGTTGTTGAATCTTCTAGACATGTGGTTGATGCTTGGGTTGTTGAATCTTCTGGACTTGTTGAAGTTCCAGGGGAGGTAGTTTCAGGGCTTGTTGAAGTTTCTGGTGAAGTTGAAGTTTCTTGAGATGTTGAAGTTTTTCGGGATGTTGATATTCTTCGTAGTGTTGAACTTTCTGAGGAAGTTGATGTTTCTGAGGATGTTGAAGTTTCTGGGGATGTTGTACTTTCTGGAGATGTTGAAGTTTCTGGTGATGTTGAACTTTCTGCCGATGTTGAACTTTCTGAGGATGTTGAACTTTCTGAGGATGTTGAACTTTCTGGGGATGTTGAAGTTTCTGGTGATGTTGAAATTTCTGCCGATGTTGTACTTTCTGTGGATGTTGAAGTTTCTGGGGATGTTGAACTTTCTGCCGATGTTGAACTTTCTGAGGATGTTGAACTTTCTGGGGATGTTGAAGTTTCTGGAGATGTTGAACTTTCTGGGGATGTTGAAGTTTCTGGGGATGTTGAACTTTCTGGGGATGTTGAACTTTCTGGAGATGTTGAACTTTCTGCCGATGTTGTACTTTCTGTGGATGTTGAACTTTCTGCCGATGTTGTACTTTCTGGGGAGGTTGAAGTTTCTTGGGATGTTGAACTTTCTGGGGATGTTGAACTTTCTGGGGATGTTGTAGTTTCTGGTGAAGTAGAACTTTCTGTGGATGTTGAAGTTTCTGGTGAAGTAGAACTTTCTGGCGATGTTGAACTTTCTGGGGATGTTGTAGTTTCTGGTGAAGTAGAACTTTCTGTGGTTGTTGAACTTTCTGGTGAAGTAGAACTCTCTGGCGATGTTGTACTTTCTGGAGATGTTGAACTTTCTGGAGATGTTGTACTTTCTGGGGATGTTGAACTTTCTGGAGATGTTGAACTTTCTGGAGATGTTAAAGTTTCTTGGGATGTTGAACTTTCTGGAGATGTTGATCTTTCTGAGGATGTTGAACTTTCTGGGGATGTTGAACTTTCTGGGGATGTTGAAGTTTCTGGGGATGTTGAAGTTTCTGGGGATGTTAAAGTTTCTGGGGATGTTGAAGTTTCTGGTGAGGTTGTTGAACCAGGGGAGGATGTAGATTCTGTGGTGGTTGAATCTTCTAGACATGTGGTTGATGGTGGGGTTGTTGAATCTTCTAGACATGTGGTTGATGGTGGGGTTGTTGAATCTTCTAGACATGTGGTTGATGCTTGGGTTGTTGAATCTTCTAGACATGTGGTTGATGGTGGGGTTGTTGAATCTTCTAGACATGTGGTTGATGGTGGGGTTGTTGAATCTTCTAGACATGTGGTTGATGCTTGGGTTGTTGAATCTTCTAGACATGTGGTTGATGCTTGGGTTGTTGAATCTTCTAGACATGTGGTTGATGGTGGGGTTGTTGAATCTTCTAGACATGTGGTTGATGCTTGGGTTGTTGAATCTTCTGGACTTGTTGAAGTTCCAGTGGAGGTACTTTCATGGCTTGTTGAAGTTTCTTGGGATGTTGAACTTTCTGCCGATGCTGAACTTTCTGAGAATGTTGAACTTTCTGGGGATGTTGAACTTTCTGGTGATGTTGAAGGTTCTGCCGATGTTGTACTTTCTGGGGATGTTGAACTTTCTGGGGATGTTGAACTTTCTGGTGTTGTTGAACTTTCTGGTGATGTTGAACTTTCTGCCGATGTTGAACTTTCTGGGGATGTTGAAGTTTCTGGAGATGTTGAAGTTTCTGGGGATGTTGAAGTTTCTGGTGATGTTGAACTTTCTGCCGATGTTGAACTTTCTGGGGATGTTGAACTTTCTGGGGAGGTTGAACTTTCTGGAGATGTTGAGGTTTCTGGGGATGTTGAACTTTCTGGGGATGTTGAAGTTTCTGCCGATGTTGAACTTTCTGGGGATGTTGAACTTTCTGGCGATGTTGATCTTTCTGGGGATGTTGAACTTTCTGGGGATGTTGAACTTTCTGGCGATGTTGTACTTTCTGGGGATGTTGAAGTTTCTGGGGATGTTGAACTTTCTGGGGATGTTGTACTTTCTGGGGATGTTGAAGTTTCTGGGGATGTTGAAGTTTCTTGGGATGTTGAACTTTCTGGGGATGTTGAAGTTTCTGAGGATGTTGACCTTTCTGGGGATGTTGAACTTTCTGGGGATGTTGAACTTTCTGGGGATGGTGAAGTTTCTGGGGATGTTGAAGTTTCTGGAGATGTTGATGTTTCTGGTGATGTTGAAGTTTCTGGTGATGTTGTTGAACCAGGGGAGGATGTAGATTCTGTGGTGGTTGAATCTTCTAGACATGTGGTTGATGCTTGGGTTGTTGAATCTTCTAGACATGTGGTTGATGCTTGGGTTGTTGAATCTTCTAGACATGTGGTTGATGCTTGGGATGTTGAATCTTCTAGACATGTGGTTGATGCTTGGGATGTTGAATCTTCTGGACTTGTTGAAGTTCCAGTGGAGGTACTTTCAGGGCTTGTTGAAGTTTCTTGGGATGTTGAATTTTCTGAGGATGTTGAACTTTCTGAGGATGTTGAACTTTCTGGGGATGTTGAACTTTCTGGTGATGTTGAAGGTTCTGCCGATGTTGTACTTTCTGTGGATGTTGAACTTTCTGGGGATGTTGAACTTTCTGGTGATGTTGAAGGTTCTGCCGATGTTGTACTTTCTGGGGATGTTGAACTTTCTGGGGATGTTGAACTTTCTGGGGATGTTGAACTTTCTGGGGATGTTGAACTTTCTGGGGATGTTGAACTTTCTGGTGATGTTGAAGGTTCTGCCGATGTTGTACTTTCTGGGGATGTTGAACTTTCTGGGGATGTTGAACTTTCTGGGGATGTTGAACTTTCTGGTGATGTTGAAGGTTCTGCCGATGTTGTACTTTCTGGTGAAGTAGAACTTTCTGGGGATGTTGAACTTTCTTGGGATGTTGAACTTTCTGGGGATGTTGAAATTTCTGGTGATGTTGAAGGTTCTGCCGATGTTGTACTTTCTGGGGATGTTGAACTTTCTGGGGATGTTGAACTTTCTGGGGATGTTGAACTTTCTGGTGTCGTTGAAGGTTCTGCCGATGTTGTACTTTCTGGTGAAGTAGAACTTTCTGGGGATGTTGAACTTTCTGGGGATGTTGAACTTTCTGGGGATGTTGAACTTTCTGGTGTTGTTGAAGTTTCTGGTGATGTTGAAGGTTCTGCCGATGTTGTACTTTCTGGGGATGCTGAACTTTCTGGGGATGTTGAACTTTCTGGTGTTGTTGAACTTTCTGGGGATGTTGAAGTTTCTGGAGATGTTGAAGTTTCTGGGGATGTTGAAGTTTCTGGTGATGTTGAACTTTCTGCCGATGTTGAACTTTCTGGGGATGTTGAACTTTCTGGGGAGGTTGAACTTTCTGGAGATGTTGAGGTTTCTGGGGATGTTGAACTTTCTGGGGATGTTGAAGTTTCTGGGGATGTTGAACTTTCTGGGGATGTTGAACTTTCTGGCGATGTTGAACTTTCTGGGGATGTTGAACTTTCTGGGGATGTTGAACTTTCTGGCGATGTTGTACTTTCTGGGGATGTTGAAGTTTCTGGGGATGTTGAACTTTCTGGGGATGTTGTACTTTCTGGGGATGTTGAAGTTTCTGGGGATGTTGAAGTTTCTTGGGATGTTGAACTTTCTGGGGATGTTGAAGTTTCTGAGGATGTTGACCTTTCTGGGGATGTTGAACTTTCTGGGGATGTTGAACTTTCTGGGGATGGTGAAGTTTCTGGGGATGTTGAAGTTTCTGGAGATGTTGATGTTTCTGGTGATGTTGAAGTTTCTGGTGAGGTTGTTGAACCAGGGGAGGATGTAGATTCTGTGGTGGTTGAATCTTCTAGACATGTGGTTGATGCTTGGGATGTTGAATCTTCTAGACATGTGGTTGATGCTTGGGTTGTTGAATCTTCTAGACATGTGGTTGATGCTTGGGATGTTGAATCTTCTAGACATGTGGTTGATGCTTGGGATGTTGAATCTTCTGGACTTGTTGAAGTTCCAGTGGAGGTACTTTCAGGGCTTGTTGAAGTTTCTTGGGATGTTGAACTTTCTGAGGATGTTGAACTTTCTGAGGATGTTGAACTTTCTGGGGATGTTGAACTTTCTGGTGATGTTGAAGGTTCTGCCGATGTTGTACTTTCTGTGGATGTTGAACTTTCTGGGGATGTTGAACTTTCTGGTGATGTTGAAGGTTCTGCCGATGTTGTACTTTCTGGGGATGTTGAACTTTCTGGGGATGTTGAACTTTCTGGGGATGTTGTACTTTCTGGGGATGTTGAACTTTCTGGGGATGTTGAACTTTCTGGGGATGTTGAACTTTCTGGTGATGTTGAAGGTTCTGCCGATGTTGTACTTTCTGGTGAAGTAGAACTTTCTGGGGATGTTGAACTTTCTGGGGATGTTGAACTTTCTGGGGATGTTGAACTTTCTGGTGATGTTGAAGGTTCTGCCGATGTTGTACTTTCTGGGGATGTTGAACTTTCTGGGGATGTTGAACTTTCTGGGGATGTTGAACTTTCTGGTGTCGTTGAAGGTTCTGCCGATGTTGTACTTTCTGGTGAAGTAGAACTTTCTGGGGATGTTGAACTTTCTGGGGATGTTGAACTTTCTGGGGATGTTGAACTTTCTGGTGTTGTTGAAGTTTCTGGTGATGTTGAACTTTCTGCCGATGTTGAACTTTCTGGGGATGTTGAAGTTTCTGGAGATGTTGAACTTTCTGGAGATGTTGAAGTTTCTGGGGATGTTGAAGTTTCTGGTGATGTTGAACTTTCTGCCGATGTTGAACTTTCTGGGGATGTTGAAGTTTCTGGAGATGTTGAACTTTCTGGGGATGTTGAAGTTTCTGAGGATGTTGACCTTTCTGGGGATGTTGAACTTTCTGGGGATGTTGAACTTTCTGGGGATGTTGAAGTTTCTGGGGATGTTGAAGTTTCTGGAGATGTTGATGTTTCTGGTGATGTTGAAGTTTCAGGGCTTGTTGAACTTTCTGGGGAATACGACGCTGTTGTCTCTGAACATGATGTACATGTTGGTGTTGTTGTTGGATACGTTTCACATGTTGTGTATTTTGAAATCGTTGTATAGGTCGTACACTGCGTATTATCCGAGGTGGTAGTAATTTCCGTTGTTGTTATCGTTTCTGTTGGCGTTGTTGTTGTTGTGCGTGTCCTTCTTGTTGTCCTTTTACCTAAAGCAGAAGACATACAAAATACAAATACGTTTATACACCTTTGTTGTGTTATCACCAAGATGGGGATCAGACGAGGACTTAAAAAATCCTTATCGACCCGTCAGGTGTGCTTTCACCTCACTACACCCGATACAGATTTGCACGGCATAGTCCCTTCAGAGTAAGATCATAATCCACAACACGAACGTCAAAAGAATGTCAAACTGGCTCTGAGATTTAGAGGGTTACCAAGTGAAATACAAACAGGCTACAGTCCTTCATAAAGTGGCGTTTACCTCGATTCCTCGGTATTTGATTTAACAAAGACCTGCTAAAAGATCTGTTAAAGCACAAAGCAGCAGATATTGATGGGGATTTTAAATCAGCTAATGGGGATGGATATGCCACGTCTTTATAAGGGACAAGGACAACATCGCAAGGCAAGCGTTGCACTGGAATCTCCAGGGGAAAAGTAAAGTACGCCAACTAAAACAATGCCGGAGAAAGACATTGGAAGGAGAAGCAAGGGATGCTGGGATTACCTGGGCTGAACTCAACAGAGCTGCCCAAAACAGAGTTCGATGGAGGAGAAGTGTGGCTTCATCCGTTTGTTCTTATGGGGGTTTTAAGAAATAGGTCAAAATACTCGATATAGTTAGTCGTTTATCTATAAAGCCTTTCTATATTTCTCTTGTCTAGTGAGCGTTATATTGAGCTATGGTTATGTTATGTGATGAGACGGTAAAGAGCTGGACTGCTAACCCGTAAGTCTCGAGTTCGAATCCGGGTTCAAGTCAGTAGACCGTCCCTGAGTCCACCCAACTCTGATGGGTACCTAACTCAATGAAAGTAAAGGCGGCTGGGTATAATGCTGACCACACTATCACATTATATGCCGAGTTCACAGAAATACGTGAACTCTACTTCACTTTGCCTATACACGGTCACGTTTAAAAAGGGAACTTTACTTACTTATGTGACAATTTATATTATAAATGACGTTACTTACCTGCTTGGCACTCTGCAAGTAGCAGGACCAGAAGTGTAATCGCCTGCAACATAGCATGCCTCATCCTGCTTGATGAACAAGTCTTCAGCGACTTGCTAGTCGGTGTAAGAGACTTGTCTAAGCTGGGCTAGTACAGCTCATACCATAGATTAAATCCTGTTTCGTTTCTTTGATTATGCTGGGAAAACCTTAATCCTCAATTTATTTAATTCATTTACTGCGGCGGTTCTTAAATTAATAATGGAGGGCACACAGCTTCTTGCAATATCAAAGCAAAATAGCGCAAAGTCTTTGCTTAATAAAGCTGAGTTTACATTATTTAACATTTTCCTATCCAGTCCTGAAGTACAACAATGCAGGATAATATCCCATTATTTTTTCTTTATCTCTTTGTGACGTTCACTTATGAATGTTAGAAATACATGTTGTATTTATATAATCCTGTGTCAAATACACAACTATTTAGACTAGCCTCAACATTTACAACTGGTTAACTCTACTTCAACTGCTATGAGAACGGACAAAGGATCATCAGTTTGAGCTCCGCTGTTAATAACGATTCATTTAGGGACCTGCGTATTTTCACGGTACAATATTGTTAAGACTCTTTACAGGAATTAAATGCTTGAATAGATTCCTCTTTGACATCAAAATCAAGGCTTGAAGCCTAAACATTTGATCATTAAGGCCATCAAAGGGTAAAATTAATTGTGCTAAATAAAACATCGTTACAAAGTGAAAATTGATTTTCGTAAACTGAATATCTTTTTCTTCTTTGTCTTTGTCATCTAACAGTAGGTCATAGGCAACTTACAACAACTATTTTTTTTTTTATTTCTTTCAAACTTTTTCCTAAATATCATTACAAAAATAACTGAATTTCGGTAAACTAAAGCTAAACCCAAAATTCATTTATACTAAAAGAAAAGACAAAGAGAAATTTAAAGATCCGTAACATAACATCATTTCAATGTGTCTAGCTAAAGATTTTATCGACAAAAATCTGCAGGCTACAGACTTAAATGTGGCGTACACTAAAGATTTTCATCAAAACTCATTTAACATTTACAATTTTTTTACACTCACGCACACAACACACACACACACACAGACACACACACACACACAGACAGACACACAAACACACACACTCACACACTTACACACTCATAAATATTTATATTGCATGTATATATTGTATATATAAATGTTGTACATTTATAATGTATATTTATTGTATATATATATATTATATATTGTATATATATTGTATATTGTATATATATTGTATATATTTGTATATATATATATATAAATATATATTAATATATATATATATATATATATATATATATATATATATATATATATATATATATATATATATATTAACATCTGAATATATACTAGATTTAATACATTAGAGGGAAACGATTTTACAGAAAAATCGATCACTTATATATCCAAAGAATCTCTTCAACAAAGCTCAGAAAATACACTCGTAATATTTATCAAAGAGACAAACTGATCGTTAAATGTAGATATAGGCTATTGAAGTTTTAATCAAACGTGTGGCTAGTCAACGTAATGCTAAGTAAGACCTTACCCATCAAATTTTGCCCAGTTATGTTACAAGCTTATCCATCAAACTTTATCCAGTCGTGTTACCACCTTATCCATCAAGCTTTATCCATTCATGTTACAACCTTATCCATTCAACTTTATCCAGTCGTGTTACAACCTAATCGATCAAACTTTGCCTGTCATGTTCAGAGTTTCTTCCTGGCATCTCTTCGGGGGGAGGGGGGGGGGGGGGGTTATAAGAAAAACATATACTTTTACCAGTGTCCAACCCTGCTCGAAAAATTGTTGTCCGCTTCCACCCCCCCCCCCCCCCCCCCGAAAATATTAAGTGCCTCCTCGGAGAAAAAAGTCGGGAAGAAACACTGGTCATATTACAGCCTTATCCATCAAACTTTATCCAGTCAAGTTACAACCTTATCCATCAAACTTTATCCAGTCAAGTTACAACCTTATCCATCAAACTTTATCCAGTCATATTACAACCTTATCCATCAAACCCTTTGTCCATTCATGTATCCGCCTCAAACACATCAGTTTTCACTAGATTAAACTTTTGAGGTTTACTTTGATATCAACTTATTGATTTCGATTGCGGTTTTTCCAACATCCTAGTCTACTGTTTATATAATGTCTAAATTTAGCCTAGTATCTATAAAAGTGGTTCATAACCTTTTTGAAGGTACCGAACTTTACCGAACTTTACCGAACTTTTATATGGGCATTCGCCGAACCCTTTCTTAGGTGTTATTTCTTCCGAACTGACAAAAATACGATCGTGAATCATACGAGTCGGGTGTGATTCTCGACCTCCGATGAACGCCGGTTAAAAACCACATGTGAAAATTGAGAATCGCTCTTAAATAATCGCGCTTTAATCTAGAGTATATAATTTTTTTAAATATTTGCTTTTAAAAATTCATATTTTAAACATTTAAAATATACATAAAGTTTTTTTTTTGGTAAGCCTTCATTTAGAGCGCACCATTATTCTTTTATTTTTCTTCCAAGTAACTTTCAATTCTCTATTGGAATTTTTGTTTTGTTTTAAATAGCACAGCTTTTGTGAAGATCAGTGTTTCTTTCAGACATTTGTCTCCTAGGGGGTAGGGGGAGTGGACA